TGGGCAACCAACGCATTTGACGTATTATTTTGCAAAGTGTCTCTTTTGTGTTCATATTAAGGATTTGCGAGCATATGAGTTTTTGTCCTTGTTTTGATGTGAGGAACACGCCCACGAAATTTGTAAAAGTATTTTGACACACCCTGCATCCACACACACACACACACACACACACACACACACAAACATTTCCCACGTTTCCCACTGACATGAAGTGGAGCGACTATAACGAATCAATTGCTACGTTTACTGCATGGAAAGTTAGTTCACTGCGTGTTGCCAGAAAGATTTTCTCGTCAAAATTCATCACATTTATAAATCTACTATTTATAAATCTACCATTCGGACATTGAATACTGTCGCCATATCTAGTCTGTTGCTTCTGCTGTATATCAGGGACTTACTGCAGTAGTAAAGGGAACTGACAATTTTTCCAGAATTTTTTTTAGCGATGAGTCGTATGTACGAATTCCACGAGGTCTGAGTTGAGTTCAGGTGCGAATAGGCGCGCAAGTTCCTGAGGAAAGTTCTGGCTCCGATTGGCGATGACGGACCATTGTGATATATGAGAGTCTAACAGTTTAGTTCACAGAACTAAACTCTCATAAGATTTGGTTATTGTGGCGAAGGTTTTGTGCGAAGGTTTTCAGAATAGCTGATAACAAAGAACTGGTACACAGTGTGCCACAAAGTCTCCAAATAGCCCTCATCAGATTTTGAATTCGGAGTTGTTCTTCTCTTAGACTGGCTGCTAACCGAGGCTTAAAAAGCCTGGTCTACGCTGCCAAAGCTGGGAGATGTATAATATATACATATAAATATATAAAATATAATTGAAAAGGTCCAGTGATATATTAAACGCCTGTTCTTAGTGAATTATAACGAAAAAATATGGGATACAAAAACTTTAAAAGAAAGGAATACATAAATAAATAAGAACTGAGGGTGAAATTAGTTCAAATCAAATTTCTAAAACGAAACTTAAAATTAAGAGGCTTTTGCAAATATTCCTTTTTATGATGAAGTTTATACGTCAGCTAAACATATCAAAATAAAATTTCTCAAAATAATCTATCTATATATGTCAGTATGTTAATTTTCTATCTATCTATCTATCTATCTATCTATCTATCTATCTGATATAACGATATATAATTTTGTATAATTTTATATATCAACAAACAGTACTTGGTTGACAAACTGGAAAAACCCAGTCCGATGGAATTCTGACGGATGAAACGTGTCATAGGAAATTTTCCAGTTTGTCATATCTATCTATCTATCTATCTATCTATCTATCTATCTATCTATCTATCTATCTATCTATCTATCTATGTCAGCATGTTAATTTTTCATCTATCTATCTATCTATCTATCTATCTATCTATCTATCTATCTATGTATGTCAGCATGTTAATTTTTCATTCATCTATCTATCTATCTATCTATCTATCTATCTATCTATCTATCTCTATCTATCTATCTATCTATGTATGTCAGCATAATTTTTTCATCTATATCTATCTATCTATCTATCTATCTATCTATCTATCTATGTATGTCAGCAAATTTTCATCTATCTATCTATCTATCTATCTATGTATGTCAGCATGTTAATTTTTCATCTATCTATCTATCTATCTATCTATCTATCTATCTATCTATCTATCTATGTATGTCAGCATGTTAATTTTTCATCTATCTATCTATCTATCTATCTATCTATCTATCTATCTATCTATCTATGTATGTCAGCATGTTAATTTTTTTCATCTTTTCTATCTATCTATCTATCTATCTATCTATCTATCTATCTATCTATGTATGTCAGCATGTTAATTTTTCATCTATCTATCTATCTATCTATCTATCTATCTATCTATCTATCTATCTCAGTATGTTGATTTTTCTATCTCTCTCTCTCCCCCTCCCCCTATCTATGTATCGATCTATCTGTTTATTCCAAGCCTGCGCCAGACTGGTTTTGTGTTTGCTGGGTTAAGCGTCTATAATATTATCGGCGCCGAATTAGCATCACGACTTTAGTTACTTCTCCAGTGCCCGTCTTCCCTCTGTCTTTTCTATGTCTTTTCAATTTTAATGGCAGTTGTTCTAATGAGCTCTCCTCCTTGGTACCTTGACCGTATGAATTTCAGCGTACTACTCGATTGGCAATTAGGTCTCGCAGTTTTACTAACTAGAGGCAAACCTAAATCCTATTCTAATAGTTTCTTTTCTTGAACTTCTCGCCAGAGCGTACTTTCTTTTTTTTTTTTTGCTTTGCACCTACAATCTTAAAACATTTAATAACAAATATATTATAATGCAAAGAAAAAACGTTAAGGACATAGCATGAAATCTTCTCCATTTACCAGTGCTATTTTAACATGTAGGTTCCATCCTGCACTGATTTGAGCTGCTAGAGAAAAAAGGATTAAGGAAGACTGCATTAACTGCTGCAGTGATGTTAATAAAGGTATTGTTTGTTGGTCAAAGATTACAAAACCCGACGGAATGCAGTATACGTTGGACAGTGCATCGACTGATCGGTTGAGTGGCACCAGTATTGTGCTAGAATTCATTTTCATTATTCATTGGGTGGTTATCATCTGTCACAATTTCTGGCAGACCTGTTCTTGCATCAACTGGTGACACTTGCAGCTCTCATCTGCAGCTAATATCTGTCTAGAGTTACTATATTCTTGGTATGTCCTTGGCAGAGAATGCTGGACAGTTGATCTCGCAGATGGGAAGAAAACTACAGAGATGTAGTTCTACAGAAGGATACTGAGAATACCATGTGAGCAACGAGAAAGCTATAAGGAAAAATGGAAACAAAAAGAGACACTTCATATCAGAAAGAGGCAGCTGAAATTTCTAGGACACATAAGGAGCGAAGAAGGCTTGGTGAATTTGACACGCGCAAGGCACAATGAAGGCAAGAGGGATGGATGGAAACAGTGGGCAACATACATAATGAACCTGTGTAAATGGATGGCAGGACAGAGACTGGACGGAACAGTAATGATAAATATCTTGCTTAGAGTTAAAAAGGATAGGAAGTTGTGGAGAGCCATGATCGCCGACGTCTTGAAGGGACATAACATGTAAAAGAGGAAGACGCCCTTAATACTGTTGATATTATATCTCATGTTTTTAATCTGCCAGCCTCAACTATATAAAGCACAGCACAAGGCAGGGGACCCTCAGGGTTCTATTCTTGGGCCTACGCTAATTCTGATCTTCATAAATGATCTCCCCGGTGTCATCAGATCCTAAATAGGTATTTATAGAGATGAAACAACCATTTACTCCTGTTTTAGAAGCAAGTCTAACGTATAAAGTTTGTATATTTTCACGCCCCCTAAACAAAACTGCTTTCATTTAATTACCACAGAGAACCTTTTCTGTCTGACATCAGCATGGCTGATACTAAACTCCAGGAAAGGAACACTTTATTTCTTTTTGACCTCAGGTTTCCCACTGGCATGAAATGGAGCGACTATATCGAATGAATTGCCACGTCTACTACAGGGAAAGTTAGTTTACTGTGTGGTGCCAGAAAGATTTTCTCGTCAGAACCCATCTTGCATATTTATAAATCTACCATTCGTCCGTGCATTGAATACTGTCGCCATATTTGGTCTGTTGCCTCTGCTGTATATCTTGAAATTCTTGCCAAAATAATAAAAAAGAATTTGTAATGTAATCGATCCTGACCTCAGTCATCTTGACTTCAGTTACTTTCTCACCGACTTGACGTAGATTCCCTCTGTCTTTTCTACAAATATTTTCATGAGGAGCTTTTTTTTTCCCTACATGGATTTAAGCGTACTATTATATAGGTAACTAGGTCTCACCGTTTTTACTTTTTGAACTAGCTAGATGCAACCGCCATTTCTATTCTATTTCTTTTCTCGCACTTCTCACTTGTGGAACTCCATTCCGCCTTCTTGCTTCCCTGATAACTATAATCTTCACAAATTTAAATGCAACGCCGATCATCATCTTCTGTCTTCTTGAATCATGTTCTTTCTTTTCCCTTGCTCAATCCTCCTCACTAAATTTTAATCATTCCTTTTACTCCTTGTAACCCCATGTGTTCTAGTGGTATTATCATCTTGCTTGGGATGAAACGATAAAAAAGTCAAACACTAAACCAAAAAAAAAAAAACCCCCAAAAAACAGAAACAAAAAACACAAAACAAATAGCTTGTTAATGTAATTTGTACATTGTTTCCACACTTATCAGGAATGTTAAGCAGTATTAAGGAATTCTAAGAGGAGGCACGGTGGAGTAATGGATAGCGGCTTGGATTGAGAAATCGGAGAGCCGAATTCGAATTCCAGTCGAATCCATTACATTCACTTACATGCTAATACCCTTGGGAAAGGTATGAATCCTCTTCTTCTATGGGTAAATAGCAGGAAAGATCGGGTTCTTTAGCCGCAGAAAGAAATGGCAAACTAATGCCTCGTCAGTTATGTATCGAAATATACATGATCGCCTAAGGGTGTATCACGCATGGCACATAACTGAATTGATAAGGAAACGGTAATCATTTGAAGGATGTGTGGGTAATTATCGGTGTGTAAAATGGAATTGATTAGCTGAGTTCAAATTCCAGGCTAGTCTGTTGCGTTTATTTTCGCACAAAGGCCTTTCAGAAATGCACGAATCAATCTCTTCTTGTCCATCCCAGCTATGGGTTAAATAGCAGAGTAGAATTTGGTTGACAGTTAGTTTGGTAGAAAGAAAACCCTGAGTTCAAAATAATAGAGAAGGCAATGGGAAATCATTCCACCATATTTACCAAGAAGTCATACACTGATAATAATAAAAAGGAATCCATGGAGATCCATGATTCTGTATGAATATGACATTAAAGCACACGCACACACCCACGCGCACGTGCGCACACAGACACAAACGCACACACACACACACTCACGCGCGCGTGCGCACACAGACACACATGCAGACCCCAAAAAGAAAAAGCTTACGGCCACACCACGTTGAAACATCGCTCCTTGTACGATCACTGAAGTTAAGCAACATCAAGCCTAGTTAGAACCTAGATGGTGACCGCTTGGGAATACCAGGTGCTGTAAGATTGGATGTGCGGGGGGGTAATGGCTAATGTTTCCGAATTTTTAATCGGAGAGCCGCATTCTAAATCCACTTGGGTTCATTATATTCGCTTACGTGCAATTAATCTTGTGAAAGGCATGAATCCACTTCTTCTCGCCCAAGACTTATACCACTAAGACCATTATTATCTCAAAACAAATAATAATAGAAAATAATACAAAATACTTAAATTTCGGCATTAGATATCCCAGAGGTCGATGTGTCACTAAACAAAAACAACCAATCAACAGCAAAAAAAAAAAAAAAAAAAAAAAGAGTCAATTCTAAAATTCTTGTGAAGGGCGTGGCGATTATGACTTAAAATTATCGCCCATCTCAGATTCTTTATACAATGAGAACATGGCATGATTTTTAGAAATAACTTTTATTTAGTAGGACTATTCTGGATTCAAGAGATCCTAGTGATTCAGAAATAATAAAAAAAAAAGTATAGAGAGCCATGATCACCTAAATCACATCTTTTGTTTGTTGTTCCTTATTTATTACTAGCAGTAGACCCCGGCGTTGCCCGGGGATGTAACAGTAAGAGATAGATCAAGTATCGACCATCATAAAGACTGAAAAATAAAATTGACAAAGATTATTGTTTAAGGTTGACGGAAACGCATGTCTTAATTAGTTTTTTTTTGTTTTTTTGTTTTTTACGAATTGGTCAAACCCAAACTCAAACAAAGACATTGTTTTCAATCGTTATGAGTCTACCGATTGAATAGAATTTTATTATCAACAATTGTCTTGTAAATGGAATTTTTAAAGCATTCTGAATGTAAAAATAAAGAAAAAAGAATAAGAAACACTACCTGCCAAAAAAGTGAAGTTTTGTTGAAATCGGTTGAAAAATGTAGGAAATCCGATCCCATATATAGACGAACACACACACACACACACACACACACACACACACACACACACACACACACACACACACACACACACACACACACACACACACAACCAACCTGGGTTTTATAATAAGTATAACTCGATAACTCGATATTAATAAGTATAACTCGATATGAGTTGTCCCCCTTTCATTAATGCCTCTTAATCCTGTTTTCAAATTGATTTCGTGCAAAAACAATTGTGTTTTTCCAATTTTTGGCGCTGTCAGAACCACCGCAAGGTAATTTTACGTAGTCCTGTGAAGTTTTGTTGAAATCGGTTGAAAAATGTAGGAAATCCGATCCAATATATAAACGTACACACACACACACACACACACACACACACACACACACACACACACACACACACAATCAATCTGCGTTTTTTAATAAGTAAGATCAAGTTATTTTCCAATGATTTATCATGTCAGGAGATTTTAATATACTTTTGTCATTCACCTCAATGCATGGACCAATTACAAGAAATTTAGTATATGAGATTGAATATAGAATAGGCCATGCTAGGAGTATTTTCACAGAACAGCGCAAGTTGATAAAAAAAAATATTAACCTAAAATCTAGAGTCATATTCTTAATCTCGTCAGATCAAGACTTTCATATACATTCCATCACCGCCGATTAGACCCCGAACTACCGCCGGTCACGATGAACGGATGTCCTCTCGAGGAGAATATTGGGCCTCAGTCTCACACCCGATTTCAAGGAACTTTTATATACGATCCATCGCTAAAGATGCTAGTAAAATAATCGGTTTCCTGTACCGCTCCAGTAAGTACCTGACTCCTCATGCTCTCCTCTACGTATATGAAAGTCAGATCAGGTCGAAAATGGAGTACGGTTGCCATATTTGGGCGGGTGCTGCTCAGTCCTCACTTTCCAGTCTTGATAAAGTTCAAAAGCGTCACCGAATACTTGTCGGAGAAGTATTCTTTTCCACATTCCAACCTCTCTTTCACAAGTGGGGTGTGGCAAGCCTCTCGCGGCTCTATCGCTACTACCACGGTAAGTGCTCGGACGAACTACATACGTTGGTTCCGCCTGGTCTAACCTTCTTGGCTCGGGCCCGCCATGCCACTTACATAGTAGCAACCCCACCCATATTCCCTCCGTATTCCATTAGCGAGAAGTAATTTCCACTCAGACACCTTCTTCCTGTGAACCACTGCCCTGTAGAATAGATTTCCAAGAGGATGTTTCCCCGATTACTACAATCTTAACCTATTCAAGTCTAGAGTTAACCATTATCTTCATATAAAATATCACTTAACGTAGCCCTCTAACTCGAATGGCATTCGGGCCTTGTATAGAATTAATCTTATTCTAAAAAAAAAAAAAAAAACAGAACAAAAAAAAAATGTCATAGTTTCAAATTCGTTCAGAAATATCTAAACTGCCAGCTGTATAAACCTGCTTTTTTAGATCGATGGTCAAAAATGGTTTTGAGTAATTGAAGCATATGTCTCAGTAGCGAGGACTATATTTCTTCGAATCTCATGGACTGGCGCTACATAATCACCGACAAAGAACTGTACAAGATAACAGAAACCACATCAGTTGAGGACTACCAACAGCAGCAACAATTAAAATGGATAGCGTATGTAACTCGAAGAGAAAATAATGTTGATTTTCCACACTACTTTAAACAAAAGGCAAGCAAGGAAACCTCCATTAATACTAGAAAAGCTATATTAGCTACTGAACTTGAGAAATCCATCTTTCTGAAAAAAATGTTTTAAGAGAAGAATTTTTTTTTTATAAATGTCAACTAACTGCAGCACTCACTGCTTGGTCAAAGAATGCCGAATGTTTCTTTATAAAGAAACAGCGATTATTAACATTAACATTACCATTGAGAAATTTCAGACCAACATTTGACCTGTTTTTAGTTTTAGATATTTCTTTCTGCTAGGCTATTAAGCAAGAATCCCTATTAATAGGAGATCTTTTTGGTTACCAACGCCCTCATTGAGACCTATTTCCTTCTTTCCGGATGCCTCTTGTAACCAAATCTTTAACCTCCCCGTTGAATAGTGTGCCGCTGAGATTTCTTCCTGGGTGAAAACTGGCATCGATACCTTTGTGCCTTGTTTAGATTGGCAACTAGAGCTTCATTGTTTGACTGTTGAAATAGCTTAATGTAACCGTGAGTTCTATTCTGATAGTTTCTTCTCTAGCACTTCTTGCCTGTGGATCTCTTACTCCGGTCTCTTACTTCCCTGCTACCTAGAATCTCCAAACATGCAAAGTCAATGGCCATCTTCTCTTCCCATCATGAACCCTTTTCTTTTATTGTCCTTTCTCCTAACTTGTCTTCTCGTTTTCTTTCACACCTAATAACCCGTTGTGAGTTAGTGGCATTACCGCCTTGCCTGGGGTGAAATAATTAAAAAAAGAAGACAAAACCTTACGAGATATTCTTAGGACTATTAACTTTGTTATAAAATGATACTCAAAGGGCACAGAGTGAGGAACAAACTCCCTGTAAATCGTCCGATAAACTTACTAAGCACAACCCAACAGTAGATAGTCTTCATTTCCTGTGGGGTACATGATATTTTGTTTGCAGTGTAATGATGTAAAAATCATGGGCTTTATGCAACAAATATACGTTTCCCAACACAATCTCCTTCCTTTTCAATACACTTAATTAAATGCTTGTCTATATAGATCTCATGCATCAAATATTATACAGTGAAAAATTCAAATAAATTTCTTTGATAGTCTGTGTGTGTGTGTGTGTGTGTATTTTTTAAATATTTTAATTTATTTTTAAATATCTATTTTAAAAAATTTAATATCTATTCAAAATAATATTTAATCTTTATTATAGGTTATTTTTGTGGTTTCATAGAAAAATATTGCTAAATTATTTATCTATCTACCTATCTCTCTCTCTCTCTCTCTCTCTATATATATATATATATATATATATATATATATATAATTTCCAAGTAAGACGTTGTATATCCCGATTGAAACCGTCCAAAGTGTTTCCTGTTTTGTCGAGTACTTTTGGCTATCTCAGTTATTATCAAGAGCTGAGTGTTGCTAGGTCCGTTATTGTGCTTTATTTTTTTTTAACCTTGTCTTGAAAAGGGGGTCATGTTTATTTTTTTCTATTTTATTCTAGTGCTTTCAGTTATCCCAGTCATTATCAAGAACTGGGTGTTGTCAGGATAGTAAACATTGACTGACTGGTCGCATTCAATACCGCAAAAGCTAAACTTGTAATTGCCATCATCGCTTTGCAGATCCTGAATTTTTGCCTATTACAATGAATTGATATTCTCTCAAGAAGTCCCCATTGCCTTGAATTCACCCCAGACCTCGTGGAACTCGTATATATGATCCATCACTAAAGATGCTGGAAAAAGGGTCAGTTCCCTGTACCGTTCCAGTAAATAACTGATGTCTGCTATGCTATACTCAGATCAGGCTGAAAATGGAGTATTATTGCCATATCTGGGCTGGAGCTGCACAGTCTTGATAGAATTCAAAAGAGTCTACTTGGCCTTGTCTATTTTCCTCCTCACAATCCCTTTTCCATAGAAAAAAATGCATCAAGCCTCTCATTACTTTATCAGTTGACGGAATATTGAATACTTTCCTTGGAAGTAGTTCCAAGGAAAATATTCAATATTCCGTCAACTCTAACGAGACGCATTGCAACATGTAATAAATAATAATAGCTGGCCACTCGCATTCGAGGATACCCGTCTACTAGGGTGGCTAGCCAATCCCTATTGCAGACGTTCGCTCAGGCACATTTGTGTTTGCTCAACCCCCCACAGAGCCCAGTAGTTATAATGCAACTATGCTGAACAGATCTTAGTTACAGTTTCTGAGAAAGGACGTGTTTATTAGCATGATCAACATTTTGAACAAGACCAGCACGCTTAAGCCCTCGACCGCGATGACTTGTGGCTTTTGTGCTAGCACAGCTATCGACAACACTCAAGAGTTCCGTGTAACCAATTTCAACTCTAAGGGTTGGGTCAACCTGGTTTTCAGGTACTTTCCAAAGGTGTCGATCTCGATTCATTCCGATAACATCA